TAGGGGGAGACATTTCAAATGGTGAAATTAAGAAAGGGCTATTTAGGGTTGAGTATCGCCCAGTAGACTGACTGATCGAGACAGTAAACGACCTTCTATACTGTAACTTCCACTTATTCGCAATAGTTCATAAACATCTCAAACTTACTAAAGTGAAGTATCTAGGGATTGATGCCATGCTGAATAGTCGTCGTTGTCTATGCGCTCGGTCGATGAGGGTATTGGAGATGACGGAGTGGCGGTTGAGGATGCTTCTGAATTGCTCAGCCAAGCACTTCAAAATTTGCGAATTCTAAGGCAAAATCGTTGATCCTACGGAGATGAGATACGACGCGGTTTGTTAGCGTCGATTGGACGGCCCAGGTAGGCTCCTTGTTGCCTGTTCTTCTCGGTGAGCAGGTTTCTGATGACTACGTCATTGTCGCCAAACCAATCCTGGGGCTCGCGGCGAAGACGACCGAGAACCCCCGAGGCGGTCGAATGTACGGTGTTCTGAAGTTGGCACCATCGAGCACCCACGGAGGCGTTTTCGTCTGGGGTTGGTAGGTCTTACAGCCGCAGGGTTAGTTAATGCTGAAATGTAAACTGTGAACAGGCAAAGAGAAGAAGGCGGTATATAATTTGCTAATGGTCGTTTAAGTGGTGGCTTCCAGCGGGGTAGCAGACGGAGCCTCATCTTGGAGGTGACGAGGCAGTGGTCTGTCCAGCCATCGGTGTTGCAGATCAACTAGCGTCCATGAAATGGCACCCAATTCTCACACGTGGCTCTTCGAAGCTAGACTCTGCTTAGCGACCACACCCCAATAACCGCCTCGACAATTTAGCTAACCCAGGTGAGAGTACCGGATCTTGTGTGTGTCCACGAGAGTTTGATCGTCGATTTCGACGATCTCCACCGTGTGTTCCACAGCGAACTGATGGCAGGCACAGTGACTTGCACGTGAGTTAGTCTATAGTGGTGGTGGACTTTCAAAACACCTGCTGCATTTACACCTCCTCCCCACCTGGACTTGTTGTCAGGACGCAGTCAATAATAAGGAAGGCGGGTGAAGGCTTAGGTGGCTACCACTGCGGGACCCGCACCTAGGCGTGCTACCACACAGAAAATTTGCTGATTTTGTCTCGTATGAAGTGATGCCTTGATACAACGCTCAGGGACGGCCGTGTCCCCTAATTCCTTACTATCGTAAGTTACACAGGGATGCATCGGAGATGTAACCAATGCATATTTGAACTCGCCAAACTCACACGGACCGACATCACTGACTCCGTTGTGGACATACTTATCTCCCTAAAATTGTGACCTTACATGTCTTCTGAACAAAACCTGTACTCCGATAAGTTGGTCATCTATGTGTGAAATGTTATAAAAGAACAACATTGGAGATGGTCATTTGGCTGGGAGCCTTCTTTTTTATAAGTGGATGCATTCGGAACGGAAAACAACATCCACACATGAATTAGTCAGACATCACCAGATCCAAATTTACTGTTTCATACGCAGATATTCTAGTGAACAGTATTACATACCAACCAATGAATAGCCCATCGTTCCGCCATAAAACTCGTAGATTTACATTCATTTAATCCTCCTCTGACCATTTCTTACAATAAAATTGACTCGCTTCTTTTTCCAATGGTCGCTCAGATGTGGCAGCAAAAGGCAGGAGTTCCCTCGTATCATTCACTTGGTGCAAATTTCATGTCGTCATGTACAGTTGCTAGCAAATGTTCATCATGTGGAAGAATGGCCGAACGAAGAGATTTTTCCAACAATCAGTTGTGTGTTGAGTTCATTACATAGAGACGCGAGAAAAGCAACATGACAAACAGTCGACTTTGACGTACGTACACAGGTCGGATTTCAGTGCATGAGTCGCTGACCCCCCGGTCGTTGCCAAACAACTTTGGTCAGCTATGCTCAAGAGATTAGAAGACTGATCCAGATAAGCCGCTTTAAGTGGGCTTTGTCGGTCACAATGCCAGCGAACGTTTTTTTTATCTCCTCACGAAAGCCGATCAAGCTGAACTGAGACTTCGCAGCAGTACTACCTGTAGCCATGCAATATGTACAGACAAATGTGCAGGGGGTCACTGGGTGCATACATGTCCAAATTATACGACAGGTGGCTTCATGCAGAACACCAAAAATAAACGACTCGAGTGGTCGCAATCCAGTCGGCTTAGCAGTGTCAGTTCGATTGTACACCTGATCCCGGTGTCAGAACATGGGCAAGAAGACCGGAAGTGGGATCGGTCGCTGATAACTTGAGCGACATGAACCTGTGCATAGGCTTGCCGCCACCTTGTTCCACGCACAAAGAACCAGCATTTTATACAAAAAGAAAGGGAGGAGACTCGGGTCACAACTACGTGGGTGTACCACTAGGGTCACATGAGGAAGGAGCCGCGACAGTCTAAGTCTCCGTGGCGAGATGAGGACTGAGTTATCCTGCCAGATAGCAGCACTCCACGCCACGGCTTTCAGCGCACTCCGGTAATTTCGAGTGTCAGTATATGGGTGAAACATGCCTGAGCTTACAGAGAGTACATCTGCAATCGGAATGGCAAATCGTATAGCAAGGATTGTTTCGTTTCGGGTGGGTTTTCACTGTCCAAGCTGTCGTAATCTCGAATCACGCTGACGTCGCCGGGCATCTAAAAACGAGAAAAAGTGGACATAAAATTATCCCAATAACGTATATATTCCAGCCGCTTACGAACAGACGGCGGTATGACCGAATTATTGCCTTGAGTACTAATTAGAATCTGACCAAATTTACGATTAAATGATAAGCATATGCGGTAATTTCTTTCCGGTTGGAGGTAGCGAATGTGAAAATAGCAGCTTAATGCCAGTTGATGAGGGCGTCGAATTATATTATCTTCCATATCTAGCATTACAAGAGCATACACCTACTAATTCAGTTTGGGGGATTAATGAATGGCCTTTCATGCGATAAGTTTAATATTTTTATAAGGCCGTTCAATTGTATTGTCGAGCAGAGCTCTATGCACCGCTCCTCCGCCACTCCCAATAATTCTGCATACATTTGCGAAAATTCAAAAGGATAGAGTTTATTTTATCAACGACGCAGACAGACTGTATACATTTTTAGATCATATTATGGCACAGCGGAAGGCACAGTCTCTCAGCACAAGTATAATATGGTCCCTCCTGTCTGCTGGATCATTTCGGCGGCCTTTAATTCCGTTACTAAGCGCAACACTAAGGTCTTCTAATTCCCGGTAATCACCCTTTTGTTTCGCCAAAATGGTTTTCAGAGCATCGAGCGAATACATTGTCTGAGCAGTGTAATATAGCATTGTTTATTAGTTGAAATATGATTCCCAGTTGGCGTCATTAGAAGAAGAAGAAGCATTCATCGGAAGAGGTTGATTTTTTTAAAATTCCGAATACGGATTTCGACTACCCATCCTTCGTTATATCCTGCGGTGAGGGCGGGGCGACAGGGTCACATTCATTCCCCACAGCCGCATCAGGCAAAATGTGTCGTTCTGTGAAAATCGTGCACGGAAATCTCCACTCTCTAAAGAGAAGCAATAGAAATCACTACTTCATATGCTGGATTCGAAGTAAACCTCTCCTACTCAACACCTCTCCCTCATTTGACAGCTCACTTTCTTGCGGATGTTATCTGACTGCTTCCCCTTAACCAAAGTTGACCCTTAGTTTCAGCCTTACTGACTCGGCTTACTAGCGGACAGGATATTCTCATTTAAACTCCAATGGTGCAGTTCTATGCGAGGCCTATAAGAGTATGTTCGTCTAATCAAGAAGCCCTGGCTTAAAGACTGGTTGTCAAGCCAGCAGGTTTGATAGCAAAATTACTGGATGTCAAGTCATCGATCCTGACCCCGAGTCAGCCTTCTATCCCCAGTAGAATCCATCACAGTCAGTGGAATTCGTAATTGCTGTCCCACACTTCTGGTGTCCCCACCATCCTCAGGATCAGAACACCATGAACAATTAGCTAATTGCCCTAACGCCGTAGTTAGAGGCCCGGTCCACGTCCGGGGTAATTGGCGAGCGCACCTGCAATAGGTTAAGGCCTAACTTTAAGTGATGACCGCATGATGAGCGGCGGTCGAACCGCGTTGACGCGTATCGGCCTGCTACGCTGAGGGCTGGGTCGGACCAAACTACACGGTCGCAATTAGCAGCCTGATAATCAAAGGTCTAACGCTACCCGTTAATGGCAGCAGTCCAAAATAATTATCTCACCGTTTTCAAGACTCGGGCCCTTTTCGAGTAAACGGTTTGGAAATTATTCACAGACTAGCCAAATCACGTGTAGTTCCTCCATCAAATGCGCTTGATTGTAAAATGAAGGTCTTTAAGAATAAGACACGATTGCCGGGATAACTGGGTGGTTGGGTTTATAATTAGTCTTATGGATATGAGGACTATTCTTATGATTAGGATTAGAATTACGAGGACTTATGTTAGAAGACGGAGACACGATCGCTGGGACAAGAGCTTTATTAGCCTGGCGTTTCGGATTCCTGCTCGGACTAATCCTCAGAGACGAAAGCAGATATGAGTGGTTCATGCACAAGGGGCTGCAGTATTTATAGGATGCAGTCGTCATGCTGCCGCATACCTATGAATTTTCACGACTCTCCCCTTCATCAGGGATCGTTGCACTTGGTGTGATCATTACCTGATGGCCGACATTCGAGTCGTTAATTGCTGCAATTTCAACAGGTGCGTTTGGTGTTGGTGTGATGATTGCTCGATCATCTGATCGACCGACCCTGGCGTTAGGAACAGTGTTCACCTGTGCGCTCCCCGCGTGGCTCATTGCTCCGCCTAGGCGAGGTCACAGCACCAAGTATAAAAGGGGAAGGTCATTGCCCTTGTTACTGGACGGGGCACCAGTAAACCATGGCTTAAGAAGCTCCCGGCTCATGCGGTTGTCACCTCTAGCGAGAATATTGACCTCGTCGAATTTGAATGTGTGGCCGGAACCCGTCGAATGAGCCGCAAATTGAAAGCTAGCGTCATTTCTCCGCACCGCTGCAGCGTGTTCAGCTATTCGCGTTTGGAGCAGTCTTCTGGTTTCTCCGACGTAGTTGCTTTATCCACAAATGCACCAGATCCGGTAAATGACTTCAGACGTTTTCAGCCGCGACAGCGGGTCTTAGGTTTCATTAACTGACGCCTGATGGTTGGCTCCGGTCTGTGTGCAACTCCAACCCCAAGTAGTGCGAGAAGGCGGCCGTCAGCTTCCGAAAAGTTCTTGGCATGCGGAAGCGCTCGCCAAAATTTGGGGTCCGTCAGATTTGGCTTTTCGTCCCTTTTGCGTATGCACCGGTTGACGAAGTCGCGCTAGTAGCCATTGGTTTTGAAGACCAGTCGGAGTTATTGTAGTTCGGCAGTCTCGTCTACCGCTTCAATGAAGTGCGTTTTGACACGCCGATAGAGCGTCAATACATAACTGCGTGTGTGGCTGATTGGGTGGTTACTGTTGAAGTTCAGTACTTGAATCGTATTTGTAGCTTTCCTGAACACTTTGGTCTTTAGTCCACCACAATTCTTGCGGCATACGAGGACATCCAGGAAGGCCAGCTGGTTGTTCTCTTCCTCCTCCATCGTAAATTGTATGTCCGGGAAGACCGCATTCAGATGTTCCTAGAATGCCAGAAGTTGGTCCCGGACGATAAGGACGAAGGTATCATCAACATACTGGGCCCAGCACTTCGGTATGTGATGCTGGAGGACCAGCAACTCCAACCGTTGCAGGACGGCCTCGGCGATGAATCCCGAAATCGGCGAACATATTGGTCTGCCCTTCACCTCTTCGTAGATTGTCCCGTCGAAGGTGAAGTATGTCATGAGACAGAACTACAGGAGCTGAAGAACTTGGGTGTGTCCAAGACGATTATCCGTTTCATCGTTTTTGTTTAGTTGAGGTCGCTCGATTGTCTCGATTGCCAGGTCTTGGGGAATAGAAGTAAAATGAATGTAACAGCAAAAGATACCGTGACCTTACTTGGATGGAGGCTTACGCCTTTGAGTTTATCCAGGACTTGTGCTGATGAAAAGACCGTGGTGTCTGACTCAGCGGTCAGGAACTTGGGACACCAGAACAGCCACTTAGCCAGTCCCTGGGTTGGAGTAACTTTGAGTGACACGATGGATAGGAGAGGAGCGCCGTCTTTGTGCACCTTATGGAGGCCACAGAATCGGACCAAAGCCTGATGATGGGTTCGGCCAGGAATCCGAAACGTCCTAGCGATCGTTACTCCTTCTTCAAGACTGCTTCGTGGGTCTCATCTCTTCGCATCTTTTGAAAACGACGTTTTGCTGTCGAGGCAGAGTAAGTGACGAAGCCGCCGAAAACCGATGAAAACCAGATGGCAATTTAAGCTTTTTCAGGCATTGTCTATTCTACTTATTCATTGGGCGTATAAATGCCAAATCTCACATGCAGAATATGTTTTTAAGATATTACATGCGTTACACTATTCGGACATTTTTAGCAGACAACAGTTCCCACGCAATATTCATACGACTTCGAGTTCTAAATACTTGCGAGTTTACTTTCATTCATTTGTCTGTGGGCGTTAACCTGACCAGACAGATCTAAAAGAACAACTTTTGCTAACCTGACCTCACCCCAGACCGCGCAAGTCGAGTGAGGCAAACTAGGAAGAATCACGCTCTTTTCAAAACATCAGGAGCGCGTCAACGCAAAAAAATTATAATTTGGCAATCTCTGCAATTGTGTTTCCTTAAACAGGCATTCTAGAAGTAACTGAGATATCGTCGATCGCGTATGTGCAAGCTGACCTTATAGGTATAAGTTAGGATAGTTTGGGTGCAGTTTAGAAATGGAACTCTTAGCGCATTGCTGGACCACAAAACACTCGACCGTTAACTGGACATCCCTCTGGAACTCCCTGATATTAATGAGATAAGGCATGTTTAAGCTAGGCCCCGTTCTGCTGATTTTGCTCATATGCACAGATTCAAGCAGTTATTGCGACTTCAAAGGGAACACCTGCGGTTCATACGGAGGTATTTGTCAAAATCTTCTGTGTATGGTTCTTCGAGGGGGCGGGGGTGGATGGACAGGAAAATGTAACATGTCACATTGTAAGCTCGCGTCAGCTTGTACACGACACTCTCGGTCAAAATGTTTTCAAAAGGAAAGGCAAAGCAAATTTCAGAGAGGGAATACGGGAAAACCTCGGATTCTTCAGCGCCAGTGTTGCCACATCGCACGTCAAAACACATTCCTATCTTCGTATTAGCCTTGATTTCAAGGCGTCCACTGATTGGCTGACGGTTGACTTCAGTGGACGCATGAGCAACAGAATCGATAATTTGATTGGAGCGCACACCTCACAGGCCAAACTCATTGGCGATATGGACCATGATCGCAAGTATAAAGGTAGTCACGTAAAATAAGCCCGTCATGCCCAAGTAATCTTACTAGTAATGAGGTGAGTACCTGCATTCTTAATATTGCGATGTTAACCTATTATGACACTTACTTAACCACTGTATGTCTTCCCGCAGATCTCTTCTTCCTCTCCTGCTGGTGCTAGCGATGGTCGCTCTCGTGAGTGCTCAGGTGAGTTCCACCGAGGAGCCTAAAAAGGCGGAGGCGGAGTTGCATCATGACGGAAAGAAGTGTCACGAGTATGACCCCAAAAACTGCCGCAAATGCGCCAAGGACAACATGAAGGACTGCGTCAAATGTATGCTGGATAAGGACAATTGTTGTATTCAACGACACAGACCTCATTACTGGAAGGTGAAGAGAGCTCAAAAGTATTGCAAAAAGTGGCTGAAGAAGGAATAAAGTTGTGAGAATTAGTGGCTTTGGTTTCTTGCTAACACTTGACACTGGTGGTGGGAAGGGTGGGCGAGTGGATTGTGCGTCGGTATTTGGCAAGCTTACCGTTAATTACAAATATTTAGATAACAATTGTTAACATCCGTTTAACTATTGATAATTCATGTTGATGCAATCGGTGCGTTTCTTGTTCTTGTTCACACTTCCTCAATGTACTATGATGAAATTAGAAGACGTCATCGTCGTGTATGTGTGTCACAATTTCTGTCAGTTGCAGAGTATCCGGTTAAATGGTTGAAATCACATCTCGAAGTTACATTCAGTGAGCGATCTTAGATAATGCTAGTCGTATTCGATTAGGAAGCATAACTTGCACGAGGTTGAAGTACTTATCAAGACGGACTCCATTATTGCTCGCCAGAATGTTTGCTCGTCTTTTAGATGGTCGTATATGTTCAAAAGTATATTTTTTGTGAAAAATACACAGTTGTACGCTTTCTTCTGTTCTTTTAGTGGGAAATTCCGTCGACTTCACTTTTTACTCGAGGAAATGGTACATTTCGGTTGCGATAAGTCCTGTAATATTTACGAATAAATTTATGCCTGTTCAGCCGCTGCATTGGCGTTTAGCAAGTTGCATACTCTGCGTAAGAAGGGTAACATATTCCTTTCAGATGATACCATGTCCAGTTTGCAGATATGAAGACTAGGTCGCATTCTTTATGATGAACGTAAGGGATCGATGCTGTATGAATGGACATTGCTCCGTCTTGAAAAATCTCCGAATTGTTAACTTTACAAAACAGAAAAGTACTCTTTCTTCGAGCATAAAATGTGAAGACGACGTGATGTGCTACCAAATGAGCAAAAGAAAGCATATTTTAGAGCATGTCTTCTGTGAAATATATTTAGATAGGATGAAAAAGAGAAGACTCATCGGAAACTCGAGTTGTACTCGTAAATTTTAAAGTCGACGAAATGAACAGAGGGGAAAGTGAAATCGGCAGACTAGGTTGGCTGTCGCGACAGGACAGACGACGACAAACAGATAGCTGATGCGTGAGAGGGGTGAGCACCGAGATATGGTAGGCTGAGGGGCAGGCGAGGGAAGGCAGAACCGTTAGGGCTCCCTGTGTTGGGGGTGGAAAAAACGCGGGAGGACTGCGGATCAGTGGGAATGAGGACGACTGGTTACTCATGTGGGATGAAGTCATATTTAGATGTATCATGTCATCGAAAATAAAAGTGATAAATGCATATTACTTAAATAGCCGTTCTTACCCAGTGCAGGCACTACAGGGGGCCATAAAGAAGCGCATTTTGCAGCTAACACCCTAGATAGAATGAGATATTATAGGGTTGTGCCGCATGTGGCGTTCTTGTTAATGTAGCCTTTGTTACGACTCTCATTGTCCGAGGTCTGAACTCGTGCTAGCTGGTGGTATTTTTCTCACATCAGCCGCCTCGTCCTGTTTCACATTTAGTATCCCTGACTTGGACTGTGCACCTTCGCATACATGATATGACTTTGTTCATTTATCCAGCTCGAATCTATTTGGTAATATGAAGATCTAAATTGATTTGCTATGCTTTGGGACCATATCGCCACGCCCCTAGTGTTGCTTGCGTTGTTGAAAATTGATGTAATATCTCTGCCCTACCCAGGATTTAAGGCCAATTGACAATGGCTCCTTCTTAACCTGTACTTCATGGCACTCCTCCTTATGCGTGCTCTGAATCCCTCCAACATGTTATGCGCAATTTCTAGGCTTCTCGGCCTTTGCGTCTGCGCCTACGTTCCGTTGCCTCGATTTTGTCCTGGCTGGTGCAAACTGGATGTAGGAGGAGTAGGTTATGCAGGTGCAACGCAAGTCTGTTTTAATAAAAATTGTTTAACGCTTGAGGCACGACTGCGTCCACATAATGGACTGCTGTATTTTTTGCGGCCCGCAACTGTTTAAATCTCCTGTGTTTCTCTTTTGCATGCATTGCACGAAGGCTTCTCTTCGCGCCGATGGGTACGCCTCATAGCATCGCCACTAGAGTTGTCACTGGTAGGCGTCAGCGCATAGACAACGACGCCTATTCTGCATGGAATAAACCCCCAGATTCTTCCCTCCAGTAACTTTGAGGTGTTAATAAACTATTGCGAATAACTGGAAGTGGCAGCATAGAAGGCCGTTTATTGTCCTCATTAGTCAGCCTACTGGTTGATACTCAACCTTAAATAGCCCTTTCTTAAGGTCACCTATTGCAACGCTTCTTCTTATAGAGTCAGTGCATTTGTTTGTATCCCTCATAGGAAGGAAGCTGCATGCTAATTCAGCCAGAATCTTCGGGTTGTTGAAGTCCTGCACCAATGATTCACTTCCAGTCCAGAGCATTTCGTATGATTTTCCTACTTGAGTGACTGATGTCACATCGGATTCCAGAGATACGTGGGTAGGCATTACCTACCACCTGACGGAGGAATAAAATTAAAAAAATGCGTCGAAAATGCTAGTTTACACAGTCCGGAAATAGGAGCGTGACTGCATAAGTGACCGAAACAATACAACTGCAGATAATTCCCTCTCAAGCTAATCTCCGGGGTAAATTTGTTCAAGCTGGCAGCCTGGAATCGTCGTTATCTGAATAGTCCAAATTAGTTAGACACGTAATAAGAAGGCAAGTTCTGATTGTTTGCGAACAGGATCAGTATGGGACACCGTTGCGCTCAGCAAGTCACGGTCCATGTTGTTATGGCAGCTGGAGGAATGAGGAGCGAGTTATACTATCTTATGAGGTGACCGAGGAAGTAAAGAAGATAAGGGACTGAAGTCGATTTCGTCATCTGAAACGACATCGCCAGCAGGTTGCTTTACCTCTCACAAGATTTCAGAATTGTCCCCTGGCAATGAACCCGCCACATCGGGAGGAGTAACCTGCTACAGTCTTCGGTGACCACGCACCCTCAAAGATGCGAAGGAATAGTTGCGCGAAGACCTGCACGTCCGCTCTGTCTGCAAGGGCGTGGACCAACTGATTTTTTTCGGACAGTTTATGGAACAATGGGCGGGTGGTTGTCACATTGTGCCTTTATATCATGCGCCGCGGTGCGGCT